TTTTGAATGAATGATTTGATTTAATTTCATTCAAATCTTATCATTGACTCAGAATACTATTTCGTGTTTTGTGCAAACATGGATTCGGGTAAAAAAATTGTTGGTACACTGTTAAAAAAAATTTGGCTGAATTTTCTGAAAAATACTTTGCATTCGATTTAGCGGGGAAAAGTCAATGGAATTTCAAGTTTCTCTGAAAATTTAAGTACAGCCCCGATTTTTTAGCGGTAGGGAAACAGAAATTCCAGATTTACATGAATTTTCAAGCGAAAATGAAGATTGACTGCCAAATTCCCTTGAACTTTTAGGGAACTCCTTTAAAATGTTTGGAATTTCAAGAATTTTTGAAATTCCCAGAATTTAGTGTTTCTCCGTCTTTTTAAGGAAGTTAGTGAAGAAATTCCCTGAAAATTCAGAGGAATCTGAAATTCAGAGATTTCGTTAAATTCTCCTGATTTTTTATTAAATTTCCCGGAATAATTAAACTGAAATTTACAGTTCCCACAGATTTTCCCATGAAATTATAAATTCTCAATTATAAAATTCCTTGAAATTTTAGTGGACATGTTATTTGTTTGAAATTTCCAAGAACCTTACGGAAATTTCAACGGAAAATTGTAAACAGTGCATGTTTCGAGTCAATGATACAATTTGTATGAACCAAGTATCATTTTAATGGTATTTTGCGCATAAAATGTTGATGATGTAATTGTTTTAGGGAAATTGCACTTTCCTGCAATGTACTAGTTTTATTTTGTGATAATCGTTTTGAATGATTGAAACTGAGCAATGATGGGAATGACTAATTTCGGGTTTCGTGTAAACATGGTTTGGATAAAATAAAAGAATCGTCAATATGTTTTGACTCAACGATAAGATATCGATGATTCGAGGTCTACTTTAATGGTATTTCGAGCGTTAAATATTGACAATTTCGTTTAATGTTTTCGTGAAATTGCATTCTCATGCAGAATACTATTTCGTATTTCACGTAAAAACAGATTCGAATAAAATAACAAAAATCGTCAATGTTATGACTCAATGATATCGATGAATCGAGGTCGATTTGAACGGCATTTCGGGCGTTAAATATTGATGACTTCATTTAATGTTTTCGTAAAATTGCATTCTCGCGCAACATGAATTCGAATAAAATAAAAAAAATGGTGAATGTCTTTTGACTTACTGATGAGCTTCGGATGCATTAAGCCTCATTTTAACGGTATTTTGCGCGTGAAATATTGATGATTTTGTTAATATTTCAGTGAAAGTGCATTCTCGTACAAAGTATTACGTTTTTCGTGATCACCCGGGCGTTACCCCTAGGAAAACCATTCTGTTCAATAATTAAACTCGACTGTAATAATGAAAACAATTTCCTATCCCGCATAAACATGAATTTAATAACTGGAAGGACGAAGTAAAATGAATTATAGATCATAAATATCTTCCGCTTCAATTGTAAGATTTAGATGAAAATAATTTCATTTTCACCCGTGAAAAAATATCTTGAAAATGAAATAAAGATAAGGGAATTGCACTATCGATCTCGTAGAATCGAGAACATTCCACTTTACTCCCTCCTTCATTCCATTATTAAATTAAATTCACGAAATTGGTAAACATTAAATTGCAAACATTAACAACTCTAACAAATTCATAAATATGAATCTAATATAGTGGAGGATGAAGTAAAATGAATATCGATCCCCAATATCTTCCGCCTCAATTGTCAAATTCAGATAAATAAAATTTCATTTTGAAGCCTGAAAAAATATCTTGAAAATGAAATAAAGATCGGGGAATAGGGGACTTGCACGAAGTTCAATATCTGCTCATCACTCGTTTGATAGATTGTTCGTACCCAATAGACAGCTGAATTACTGAAAATTTTTGCATAATTACAATAATGATTTGAAAATAAGGTCTTTTGAATGCTCTGAAAACACCTCATGACGTCATCTCACCGGTCAATGACGTCTCTGTATATTAGACATGGGATGCGCGCGCAAAAAGTAGGTTAGCTTGTCTCACATACGTCGCGTGATTGGTCGGCTAGCAGTTAAGTATAAAAAGTATAAAAAGTATGCAATTTTCAATAATTAGCTAGTAATAATTGTGCAACTTTTTGCAAGTTTAGATTCGAAAAATATAATATTGAGATGATGACCTTTCGAAATAAAAAATAAAGAAAATTCACGCAAGTTCCCTATTTCACTCTGTCGATCTCGAGCTATTGATAAAACATCATTACATCTCTCTGTCGATGAACATTTCGTTAATATTCTACTGTAATTTCACTCACGTGCAGAATATATTTTTTTTTGTAATCAACGGGGCGTCATCCCCAGGAAAGCCACTCTCTTCAATAATGAAAATAATCAACTCCCTATTTCGCGCAAAAAATTAATGATGTTAAATGAATCCTAGATTACGGGCCGGTTGCACCAAGCGGTGTTTACGGAATAAATCCTCGAGATAAAATTATGACGGGAGTAATTTTATTTCACAGCTAGGCGATCTTAGTAATTCAGTCGTAAATATCGCCTAAATGCCTCATAATTCAGTAGCGAAGTGGTGTAAAACGGTTCAAGTCGATTTTGACAATTGGCCAGTTTTCAGTGAATATCTCGGAATCTAAGGGAGATAGCTGAATTTTTATTAGGACCTTTTTTGTAGCCCTCAATTTGCTCTAGAAAAAAGGTCATTACGACAATTTTGTTATCTTCTTTAGATTCAGAGATATTCTTCAAAAACTCAAATAAGAGATACGTCAACTTGAACCGTTTCACCGCAAATAGTGATGATACATCGATATACCACGTCTTTTGCTCTTGTATTCAGCTATTAAGGGGAGACGAAACCCCTTTTTCTACATCAAATCTTAGAATTGTGTTTTCTCCTACAATTATTAATTTCTATCCATGAAATTACTTTATCGATTCGATTATCGCATTGTTAAGTCAATGAAGTAGTTTAATGAATAAAAAATAATAATTGCAGGAGAAACCACAATTCAGAAGATTCATATAAATTCCGTTGAATTCCCCGTTAAGGGGTTTCCCTTAAGGGGAAACGGAACCCCTTTGTCTACATCAAATCTTAGAATTGTGTTTTCTCTTACAATTATTAATTTCTATCTATGAAATTACTTTATCGACTCGATTATCGCATTGTTAAGTCAAAGAAGTAGTTTAATGAATAAAAAATAATAATTGCAGGAGAAAACACAATTCAGAAGATTCATATAAATTCCGTTGAATTCCCCGTTAAGGGGTTTCCCTTAAGGGGAAACGGAACCCCTTTGTCTACATCAAATCTTAGAATTGTGTTTTCTCTTACAATTATTAATTTCTATCTATGAAATTACTTTATCGACTCGATTATCGCATTGTTAAGTCAAAGAAGTAGTTTAATGAATAAAAAATAATAATTGCAGGAGAAAACACAATTCTGAAGATTCATGTAAACGCAGGGGTTCCGTTTCCCCTTAAGGTAAATGATCCTACGCTGCTGTCGATAAGGTCCCACATCATTAGTCCAATATGTCTATTGAAATGAGTGTAAAGATACGATGTTTCAAATTACATACCAAAAAGTAAAAATTTCAGAATTAAAATTCACTTATATTAATCATGACAACTACTATTTTTTAATAAATAATCGTCCGTAAACGTGGAAAGTCCCATGTCCCTACGCTCGCTCATTTGTCCCCGTGCACGTTCGACACATGTCCCTATGCTCGTCTCGTGATTTTAATTATATGGAAAGGTTTTATCCGAACTAATTACACCGTGAGTATCCTATCTGGGATAAAACAACATTAGAAGATATCTCGAGGCACAAAATTATCTTTCAATTAGACAGTCAAACCTTTTAAATGATTTTTTTATCCGTTTAGTCCGTTACCAGTTGACAATTGACTGCAAAACGAGCATAGGATCAATGCCATTTCCATTGTATCTATTCTTTTAATTGTCGACATTTCTGTGAAATATCAAGATATTACTATAATTAATGCATTTGTATTGTTTTTTTACCCATCCAAAACCTCAGTCAAGGGATTTTTAATCCCATTTTACTATTATAACGGAGATATCAACATTTTAAAATTATGAGGTTCTTAACTTGCGGCTTAAGAATTCACTCTGGCGTAGCACCAGTTGATGTGGATGGGATTTTTCCCTCTTATCTTCAACAAATCACTGTTCACTGGTGCCTATAATTTTCCTTATTAACTAAAATAATAACTCCAATCGTATTTCACTCTTGACAGACTCTTAGGACTGTCAAAATGATTAAAATGTTATAGGGACGAGTATAGGTAGAGTGAACAGGCCAATCGCTGGACGGTTAAGGGAAATTCGAATTTCATGGCAGGATCTAATATTAAAAAATCACCTCAGTGGGGATATGATGGTTTCCATACCTTCAAGAATGTTTTAATTAGCAGAAAAAAATTATTTCAAGTAAAAATAACAAAACAAAGAATAATTAAATTAAGAAGTAGTTGAGTTCAGCCGAAACCCCCAATTTCTGGACGACTGGGCCATATTTTTTTTATTTATTAAATGTCGATCAATGAAAAAAATCACTAGCGAAGCGGTCAAACGGTTTAAGTCGATTTTGCCTGTTGGCCAGTTTTCTATGAATATCTCGAAATCTAAGGGAGATAGCGAAGTTTTTCTCATAACCTTTTTAGTAGCACTCAATCCGCCCTACAAAAAAGGTTATTATGAAAATGTCGCTATCTTCCTCAAATTCGGAAATATTTCTGGAAAACTGAACTAACGATTAAATTGACTTAAACTGTTTGACGACTTCGCTGCTGAATTGATCACATAATTATACCCGAGTGATGCTGTTGAAAGCTGAAATAATCAGTAGAATTCTCGTTTCATTAATGGAATATCCAATGCAAGTTCAAATCGTCCAGAAATTGCCCCGTTGACCCTACATTTCCCTTCCGCCAATAAAAATATTTAAAAAAACCACAGTACCTTTTGAAATGCTCTCTTATGCGATCCTCTCGGATGTTTTCCGGCAGATTTCCAACCCACAGGTGACGTGTCTCTCTAACCATTTTGCTCCGAACTCTTCATTTGGGATCGGATGTTGTGTTATCGTTTGGGGCGGCACTGTACAACGACACACAACTCTGATACTCACAGAACAAATATATAAACCTCCTTATTCTCAACCCCTCGATAAACTTTATCTCCTCTCAACATCAATAATTCCCAAGGGTTGATAATCACTTTCACCAACCACCCACTCAATTTACGGCAAACTAAAACCAACAAAAGGAGAAAAAAAACTAGCAATCAACGATCAATTTCTCGTTTTCAACTCCACGCACATTCGAATAAATTCCGTACTCGTGAACTTGGTTACTTATTCCCATGAATACACGATATTTCTTCTTTCACTTGATCAAGGGGGATAAGGGGCGTCAGGGGGGGGCGGGCGGTGGCAGGGGGGAGGGGAGTAAAGGGGGTATCACACACTTGTGCACTTATTTATTTTTCTTTAATCACACGATGGTGACCCCGTGGCCCACGGGGGCTGTCGTAGCAGCGATGAGAATACGGTACGAGGGTTAAGCGCTCACGATAATACAGCGCCGTAACCGCCGACGTGTCGTGGGATAATACACCACTGGCAGCAGCAAGTAGGACCGTTGCTGTACGCCACATGTTACAACCACTAATCTAAAAGGGCCCCAATCACCACGTAACACCACCAAATTGGCCACAACGATACACGACCGATGTGCCGTGCCATTTTTCACCGATAACCATCACTTTGCTACCAATTAAAAAAAAAAAAGAAAACCTCCGTCTAAAGCCGGACAGACCCCCTGTTAATCACTGGTCAACGATATTCCGGTCACATTATCCACTGTGACTCGTGTTTCATCCTCCAGCCCGCGGTAACTCAACGGAAAAAAACTTGAAAAAAAACCAAAACTCCGCAACTGTTTTCACGTTTACCAGAAGCCCCCCCCCCAAACTGTATTTCCTCTTCAATCATCCAACGATTATCCTCGATCGACGCTTCAACTAATCGCTGGATGTGGCAACTGCTCTACTACAACTCGGGTAAACAGTTTTACCTCGTCAAGAATTAAATCATTGAATACTTGGAATCATGTACACGGACGGAGCTTGGCTTTGCTCCTTCTCACTGCACTACACTACACGAAGTGACGTCACCGTGGCGGGATTGTGTGGCTCGCTAGCCAGCTTGGATTTTTCGCCGGGGTGGGGGTAAGTGAGGGGAGGGAAACGAGTCTACCTCGCGCGGGGGGGAGGCCCGTGGCTGTGTTGGTGGGATAAAGGCGTCTCTCGCCGATCCACGTCTCCCGAGCCCCAGTGAGTTTGCGGGAGGGGGGACGCGAGGCTTATCCCCACTGGGACCCCCTCGCCCCGATGGGGCGCGGGAGGGGGCGATGGTGCCTTTAGGAACGGTTTTGTGTACGTGAAGCTTCATGGCGTCGACGCGGGATTTTGCGCGCGCGCATTTCACATTGTCTTTTGGCCGCACGGTGGGGGGAAGACGGGCAAGGCCAGGGGGGGTCCAGGGGGGGGATAACGGGTCGAACGAGCTAACCCAAACC